GCGGCAGCCTCGCCTCCTACCGCTGCCCCCTGCAGCCCCTGCCCTGCCTTGGTCCATCCTGGTTCCCCTCACCCACCTGTCCCGGAGAAGCGACCTGAGCGCTGGGGAGCCGGGCTGGGCGGCCTGCTGGAGGCCTTGCTGCTGGAGGCCAGCGTGGCTGTGTGGTGGCCTGGGGGAGCCGTGGGGCCACCTGTGCAGGCTCCCTGCTCAGTCCCCCTCCTTCCTCTTGCCTTCTCCTCTAAGGACCTGCTGCTCCCTCTCCCGTCCTGTTGGGCTTCCTTTGCAGAGGCCGCTGTGGGTTGCCAGCCCATATTTTTGTGTAAGCTGCTCGTAGTTTCCTGGCACACAGAGCAGCCTCCTTCTCAGGCTCCAAAGCACTGGGAGCCCCTGGCAGAGCCCACAGATGCTTGCAGGGCTGGGGCGGTCTGCTGCAGCCTGTCCCGCCGCCTCCTGTGTCCCGCCCTGGAGTCAGTGGGGGTAGGCCTCCCCACCCACCAGCTTCCCCACGCACGGCACCCTTCCCAGTTGGAGCTCCCAAGTGTTCCCAGGGACCGGCAGCCGAGTGTTCAGAGCCCTGGAGATGCTGCTTGTTGCGTGTGAGGAGCTTCTCCCCTAGGGAGCTTGGTGGGTGTGCCGGGTGTCAGGGCTTTGCAGGTGCTCTGGGTGCTTGCTCGGCCTGGGGCGGGGTGGGGGTTGGCAGCAGCGACCAGGCTGCACGTGGTCAGCTGCGTGGCCCTCGGAGGCAAGGGGCTCACTGCTGCTTGTTTGGTTGGTTAAGGAAAAAAAGTGGGGGAAGGCTTCATGACTCTCAGAGCTTGGCTTTTGTTCATAAACTCTGGTTTGACGTTGAGATTTGGGCCATGAGGTTTACTTCAAGTTTTTGTCATTTTTGCACATTTCTTTCTTTCTCTCTTTTTGAGATGGAGTTCACTCTGTCGCCCAGGCTGGAGTGCAGCGGTGCGATCTCAGCTCCCTGCAACCTCCACTTCCTGGGTGCAAGTGATTCTCCTGCGTCAGCCTCCTGAGCAGCTGGGGTTATAGGTGCCCACCACCATGGCCGGCTTATTTTTGTATTTTTAGTAGAGGTGGGGCTTCACCATATTGGTCAGGCTGGTCTTGAACTCCTGACCTCGTGATCCACCCGCCTCGGCCTCCCAAAGAGCTGGGATTACAGGCGTGAGCCACCGTGCCCAGCCTTTTGCACGTATTTTTCTGAATGTGGAAAAGAAACATGATGCTGTCTGTCATGATGTCAGAGAAACATGTTGATGTATGTTTTCTACTGCAGAATATTGTAGTTGTGTTTTGATGCGGTAAAAGCATTTTAATATGTTTTACAAATTACGAATAGCTGAAGTCAAGTAGTTTCCAGGTTTGAGTAACTCAGCTTTGGGCGGGTGCCCAGGGCTGCCGTGGGCCTGGCGTTCAGCACTTACCGTGGCCCGGTGCCGCCTGCCGGGCCTCGTGCTGCCGAGAGGTGAGGGCGAGTTAGCCGTGTGCCTGGTATGGTCTGCTAGTGGAGACAGATAGCGAACAGGCATTTTTAGGGCAGTTTGGTGAGTGCTGGGTTAATGGTATGGTCAGGACTCATTCAACCAGTATTTTTTAAGCATCTGCTGTGTGCCAGAGATTGCTCTGGGCAAGGACATTCTAGAACGCTGGGTGACAGAAGAGTCCCTTGCTTGGTCTAGAAACATAAGGAAAGGCTTTGCAGAGGCAGAGAGGAGGGTTTGGGATGCTGGCGGCAGGGCCTCACACAGAGGCTGGAGCTGTGGGACCTATCTGGGTGACAGGTGGTGGGAGGCGGGGGTGTAGCTGAGCTCTGTGAGACCTGCCCTGTCTGCATGTCAGAGGGCTGAGTTCCATGCTGTAGGGGGTGGGGTGGGTGGCACCAAGGGGCATAGGCAGTTTGGATGCACTTTTTTTTTTTTTTGAGACAGAGTCTCACTCTGTCGCCAGGCTGGAGTGCAATGGCGTGATTTCAGCTCACTGCATCCTCCGTCTCCTGGGTTCAAGCAATTCTCCTGCCTCAGCCTCCCAAGCAGCTGAGACTACAGGTGCATGCCACCACGCCCAGCTAATTTTTTGTATTTTTAGTAGAGATGAGGTTTCACCATGTTGGTTAGGATGGTCCCCATCTCTTGACCTCATGATCCGCCTGCCTTGGCCTCCCAAAGAGCTGGGATTACAGGAATGAGCCACCGCGCCTGGCCTGGTTGGATGCATTTTTTAGGAGGAAGGGGTTAGAGACCAAGGGCAAGGACAGTGAGCTTGGGGCCGAGGTCACCTGTCCGTGGTGGCCTGACCACTGTGTTGGAGGAGAGGCGGGAAGTGAGCTGCCAGAGTAAGTCCAGGTGTCCTCACCTGTGGGGGGCCGAGAGCTCCATGTAGGCGC